CTGAATATAGGAATCATTGTATTTTCATTACCTTAGAATGAGCCGTTTTTATCTACAGAGGCAGCAGGTCCTCTTCTACAGCCATGTTTCTACAGTAGCCCAGAACAGACAAACCAAACATGGTTTCATGGCCCCGGTAGTTTCTCAAACACGCTTGGAAGGCGGAGCTGTATTCAAATGGTTGCAATCTGCCACTTCACCGCTAGATGCCACTAAATCCTACACACTGGTCCTTTAAGTTTTGTATTATAAGAATACCTGGAGCAGACAGACTGCAAACCTGCGCACCCTGGCATCTGCATTGTTAATTACAGCCACAATATGAAAGTATTGGACAGAGCGAGCATAGTGATGGAGATTTAGCTCATACCAGTAGTGGCAGCGGCCTAACTATCTACTACAACTACCTATATGAAAGTTATTATTACCTACCTATATGAAAGTTGCATAGGGGCCCGCAGCAGTCCAGGGGCCCATAACGGACCACTCATATGTGCACTGCTGCTATAATCTTGATTGACGTGAGCTGAACCTACATCATATGCAGCCAATCAATTTACAGTCAAATAAATCAATCTGGTATATATGTGGTAGTAGTCAGTGAGCTAAGCCCCTCATTCCACGGCGTCTCCATCTCACACTTGATGTATATAATGAGTGTATAATAATCCATCCACACACTAGTGTTTTGTGTTTATAATGCCTATGCGCATACATGAAACATTTTGTCAGTAATGTCAATGTGGTTTCATATTGTGCGTTTTATTCTCTTCTGGTACTTCAATAATGATTTTGGTCAAGTAGTCTAGTCTAATCACTGTCTTAGCCTTGGGGCCCGGCACTGACTTGTTATGCCAATGAGCAGTGGAGCTTAAAATGTGTAAGTTTGTCCTGAGATCAAAATGGAACCATCTTCTGTGGACCAGGTACCAAGTAGCACCCATAACTCCCCATCTCAATGTGTCATGTCCTGTGTCATTCAGGTGGGGCCCATGCCGTGGCTCGGCCCCCAGACGGACGAGGTGATTAAAGGCCTGTGTGAACGAGGGAAGAAAAACATCCTGCTGGTGCCCATCGCTTTCACCTCCGACCACATAGAGACTTTACACGAGCTAGACATCGAGTATGGACAGGTGCTAGGGGAGGAGGTAAGGAAAAGAGGAATGTTCACTTTCCCAGCAGCTCCAGGCTGTCAGCTTCTGTCTGCACAGTTTAGTAGTGTATACAGCGTCACATGACAGTTTTAGATTGAATTCTTTCCTTCCCAGTAAGCATTGGTTTCAGTTCATCATTATGTAAATCCTATAAGAAGAAGAAAGTGTCTGCCATATTTGAATGTACTTGTTTGTATTGGGATCAAGTAATGATGGTTTAACTTGACACTTGATGTGGAGTTTAGGTTAGCAAAAGTGTGTGAGTGTGCGTGTGTGTGTTACACGTGTTAGCTGCAGCTCTGTGTCCTGTGTCCTCTGTCCTCTGTCTGTGTAAAGGCACCAGTGAGGTGACCACCAATCAATGAGACTGGTGCCCACAAAGACACACACACAACTGTTGGTGCTCCTATACTTGTGAGAACCCTGACATAATTCATTCCCAAATCCCAACCATAACCGTACGTCTACATTAAAAAATGTCCCTACATTCCAAGCATGTCCTTACTTTTCAAACACGTCCTACATTTTCATAAATGTCTTCTTCTTCGAAGGTATCTTCACCTTCAAGGTTTTAAAATTCAAACAGGTCGTCACAAAGATAGACGTACCAGATGGCACGAGTCTGCTCACGGACGGACCCACACAAACACACAAACACACACAAACACACACACTGTCTGGACCATTTCAGGGTGTCCACAGTCAAGAGGAGTTTCACTTTAAAAACCTGTTAAAAAATAATTGGAAACTGAGGACAAAATGCTTTAATTTTTTAAAGTTCTGGACTGAAGAAATGAAAACACTTTCCCACGTCATTATCTTCTTTTAATGCTATTTTTCACTATGGATATAAACCGTCTCTCGGGTGGTTTTTACACCTAACCTGTTCTGAATTGGTCCATATGAACTGTAGTCTGTGCATGTTGGGTTCAGTGTAAACGTGTGACAGCTTTTTCTGTCTTTCTTCCTTTCTGTCTTCAGTGTGGAGTGGAGAACATCAGGAGAGCAGAGTCATTGAATGGGAATCCTCTCTTCATGAAGGTACGTCTCACACACACTTGACTCATGTTAAAAAAAGGCTTGCATACAGCAGGGAAATATCAAATCATTTAAATGATATCTAACAGATTTTAGATTCTAAGTTTAAGTTTTGATTACAAAGGAGATATAGATGGTGAAATATAGAAATAAGTTAATAATAAAGGGGATGTGATAAAAGATGCACCAAAAAGAAAAGCAAACATTGAGAATACAAATAGGATTGAAAATAAAAAGAGGGAAGACTGTAGGAAGACAGGCAGGGGCTCTAATAATAGAAAAGGAGACAGCAGCAGAATGTTCTGTGAAAGAAGTAAACTCCAGGCAGGAGATGGTCAATAAATGGATTCCTTCCTCCCTTCTCTCCTTCGTCTCCTTCCTTCCTTCCATCCTACCTCCCTCCTTCCCTTCATACTCAACCCTGCAACCTTTCTCACAACAGGCAACTCCTCCAGCTGTAACAGCTCTTTGTGTGTGTGTGTGT